AAAAAAAAAAAAACATAAAAGTAAACTGAGTAATTCAGCTCAATTATCCAAAATGTAAAAAAAAAAGTTGACACACACAGAAAAAAAAAGCAAACAAACAGAGGAAAAAAAGATACCGTCACAGCAAAAGAAAACACCCATATGCAGAAAAACTTTGTACTTGAGGTATTCTTGCGTATTTCTTTCTCGTTATTGAATTAGATCGCCTTATGACCACTTTTTGCAGCCTTTAACATTGCTTGACAAGCAACAAGATCTGCCTGCATTTTGGTCACGACAACTTCAGTATCAGTGCCTCCAAGGTTTGTTTGCATTAGCAATGTCATAATAACAATAAAACCCACAATAACTGCTATAATAAATCTTCTTTTTCCCATAGCACGTACCAAACCAAAGAAAGTGGTCGTATTTCGTTCAAATGAACTGGTTGACTTAGTTCCACTCCAAGCAGCTTTTCCAATATCATGTAAGGTTTTACCTGCATTAGAAATAAAACCTTTTCCAAACTGCACTCCTCCATTATTATTCCTGTTTGTAGAAAATGGAGAACTTGCACTAGATGATACATCTACCACAGCAGGAGAAGGAACTTTATCAACAGTAAATGAAATCCCAGTTGTCTGAAGACGTAGTTTCCTTCGTTCCTCATTAGCCCCTGCAAGTTCTCTTCCTAACTTTTGTTGTTGTTGCTGCGCTCGTTCAAGCATCTCAACAAGTTCCTTATTACGTTCACATTCTGATCGGTACTGATCCTGTACCACCACTACTTCCTGACGCATTTGACAAAGCTGTTCTTCTGCCTCAACCAATTGCTGCTCCAACTGAATATTTCTCTCACGAAGGGAGTGAACATCTTGATATAATGCATTTAATGCTTCTTCGCGTGCATTATTCTCAGCTTCCGTTTCTTCTAAACGTCTGGCAAGATCCTCCACCATACCTGGTGCCGTATCAAAACCGACTTCATCCCTATCATTCATGTCACCATTACGTCCTGTAAGAGGTGAAGAAGACTCACACGGTGTTTCGCCTGTTATTTTATTTCCTGCATGATCTTGAGAGGATTCCTCACCTCCCGCTGATCCCGCTTTACCGCTTCGCCAGGCCGCTAATTCCCGTTCAAGTTGTTGAATGTGTTGGAGTTTTGACTCACTGCCGTTCTTTGACTCTTCCCAGGCATCCTTGTGTGCACGGTGTTGTAGGGCCATCTCTGACATGGACTCCGACTGCCGCGCGAGTTCAGCCTCAAGTCTTAAAATATTTTCCTCTAGAGAACGTCGTTCTTTTGATAAGGAATCTTCTGTACTCATCACAGATACATCATTACCAGGATTTTCTCCATTCTTTCCCGTATTAGCATCTTTTTTTTCACGGAGACGTTCAAATTCTAATTTGTATTTGTCACGTTCTTCACTATACTTGCGAAGAAGATCTTTTAATGTTTGGTTTTGTTCACGCAAAGAATTCACATACGTTATATCACAACTATTGTTACTGTGATTACTGTTTACAGTAGAGAGACTGTTTCCCACTTCACGATCTGCAGCTGTAGATATACCACCATTTCCTGTACTGAAACGCTCCTCAAGAAGTGCTTCAATTGTTCGTTGGTCAAATTGATGTACTAATAACCAATTTTCACGTGATGTCTTAAACTTTAGACGTAACGCAGATAATTCTGCCTCTATCTTGCAGCTCTCACTATGCAGTTCCTCCCACTTTTCAGATGACTCATTTAATCGTTTCATGGCATTTCGTAAACTCCGCTTCAACTCCTTTGTGTCTGTTGGTAACTCGTACTCATTCTTGTCTAGACTATCTTGTGAACTCTCATCATCTTCATTAAGATCAACGACTGTTTGAAGTCGTTGCAAGAATCTATCCATTGATCTCTCTCTCTCTTTTTTTTTTTTTTCTGTTCCGTGGAGGTGATTTCTTCTTCTTCTTCCTTGTTTCTTGAATTCTTGGTTTGTTGGAGTTGGATCAGCTAATTCCTTGTATTGCTTCCCTTAACACTTTCTTTCTTTCCTTTCGTTGTCTGTGAGCTTTGTATATATATTTATATATGTATATGTCAATGTCAATGTGAAGGAGTTTACCTCTTTGTACTTTTCTTCTTCGTATTTTTTCCCTCAACCTCCAACACAATCACCACCTTTTTCTGCGCACGGCGCTAGAAAGAAAACACCAAAAGAAAACAAGAAGAAATAAATAAAAAAAGATCTTATCCCAAAGGCTAACAATACAATGCGAGCGAAACATGAGGGTAAAGACCGTCAAAGATAGTAACGAAAACGAAAAAAAAAAAAAAAGATCAATATAAAACACATTAAAAAAAAAAAAAATACAAAATATAAAAAAAAAAAGAAAAAAAAATCAAAAACAAGAATAATTACTCCACATTTACCAGTAGACTTCCCACAAGAGCAGGATCCATCCCACGAACGCCGTCCAGAGTTCCAGAGACACGTAATACATGCTGACTTAAATCCGGGTCTTCCACTACAAATCCACCCGCCGCATTCATACTAGCACCACGTTCAATGATTCTGTCAATCACATCATTCCCAAAGGGTGAAAAAAATGTTTCCGTTTCCTGATGTCCCACTGCCATTACTGTTGTGTCAAGTGAATAGACTATATACGTCGATACGGTCTTTACGCTGCTGCCGGAGTAAGATGCGAGAAATTCCCTGTTTTCTTCTTTAGAAATCGGCTTTTCTCGGATTTCTCCATCCTTCACCGCCACCTGATCGAAGGTGACCACCACTCCATGCGCAGCCTCAGCGGGGAGCAATCTCTTTACCTTCTCTAGCACAGCCTTCATCTTGGCTCGTGCGATCTCTTCTGTCATCTTCACAGGATCATCCGCTCGGTATTCCTTTTCATTCACATCCGGAGGGATAGTTACAAAGTTTTCAAAGGCTCCAGAAAAATATCGGCGCAGCATTTCCTCTCGAAATGCGGAGCTTGTACCAATAACCATTATACGACCATTACTTCCTTGCCCTGTCGACATCTTTAAATTCAGAAATATATATATATA